TAACACATAGAAATACACGCAAAATGATTTCAAAAATAACTTAGATCTTACATGAATTTTTGGTATCGGTACTATCTTTTAATTTTAGAATTTCTCTAAACACAGTTTACATAATGTATCTAACTTAAACATGCACGAGCATGTATAATATTGTATACATATAACTATACAAGCATTATTTTTCGTTTCGTTTTATACTTTTATATTCCACTTAAAACAAGTATGTACAGTATACACACTATTAAATATCTTACATGTTCAAAATATCAATACGTATGTGTTTGACTCATGTAGGCAACATCAACAATCACATTTACATTTCATCGTTAATATAATAGATTTCTCATAATTCGAACAGAAATATTATTATACAAACTGAACATCATTTTTAAACAAGACAAAATATTTATTCCCAATATCTCAACATAGAAATTTTACTAAAACAATTAATTGTAAAACTTTTCCTTTTCACAGAAAATCACAGCAGTTTATTAATTTTACGTCGTCTGACGTCGTTATGATAATACAGAACACAAAATGAAAATGTACATACATTTTTATATGTATATAGTCGTAAATTGTAGAAGGAATAAAAGTAGATCTTTGTGAAACGTTTGCTCGAAATACTACGAGTAACTGCAATATTTAATTGCAAAACTCTTACGTCTACTAATTATTTAACATCATGAGGTAGTTACACGGAAATAAATATGTATTACAATGTCCCTCATTTTATTTAATTTTTATCTTATGCAGTTTAAGTTTAAAACCAAGTAATTCTGAAAGCACTCCCGAGAGAGCGGATAATAGTACCACTTTTGTAATTGTATACAAATACGGGTTGGCTGATAGACCAGATATTTTAAAAGGACATTCAAGTTCCTATAAGACGTAAATTAATTATATCCTGTAATCAAATAAAAGAGATTAACTTTTACATTACCTTTATTAAATCCGCTGCTAATTTCAGAACATTATTTGCTACCATAAGCTCTTCCTTTTTATGCGGCTTCTGTTCTATTTGTAAATATAAATTAATCTACGAAAAAAGCAAACATCAAATACTTCCATTTAAGACAAACATTCCAATAATAGATCTGAAATTAATATCGTTTTACCTGTTCCGTAATGAGGACTGAAAGATTTCTATATTTTTTATTAATCTTTGTACCCAGCGTCATAAAACGTAATATAAATATTCCGAGAGAAAAACTCCAAAACAACGCCTCAACATTATATCGGGAATGCAAACTTTCAAGATCCTATAACATCACGAATTTTTATGTATAGGATAGACTAAGCCACTCTAATTTCTTTTTAAAACTCTCTAAATACGGATATTTATTTTACCTTAATCAACTCCAAACTCACGAATGATAACAATAATAAGGTAACAATGAATACTGCTGACACTATTACATGCACGGAACGTTGCGGTCCTCTTCTCTGTAAATCATAAATTATACATTGAAATATTTTCTTTTCTCAAAAATTAATTATGCACAAGTAAAAATATGCATACCTTCAAATAAGATCTCACACTCAACCATAATTTTATGTTCCGCACTTTATTTAATCGGAAATGCGGTAGGTCAGATTTTCTAGCACGCCTCGACGATGTTAAATGGGAAAAAAGCTTCGCGTACAGTAGCCTCTGTTTATAAGTACGTTCCGCGACTGCTAACAGGAAAAATAATAACGACGATAGCACAAGTCTCTCGAATGCCGATATAAGCACTATCATCCGCTCCCTGAAATATACACAATTTAATAATTACATACAATATTTTATTTCGTGTAAGTTAGTTTAAGATTTATATCTTGTAATTACCACAGAGTCGTCCCAAATGCCAGATCTATGATTTTAGTTAAAATATCGCTATATGTTTCCAAATTGACATAAATTAAGTCATTTGGTATTAAGGAACTAGTTACATTGTTACTATTGTCCATCCCGATATGGTCGCTTAATCGTTTGATTGATGGTATTAAAGACAGCACAAGGCTAAGCATTAGGCCTCCGTAAAAGTAGCTCATACTTTCGGGCATTGACTCTACTCTAGCAATAATAGCCGAACTGATGTCCAATACCGATAGTTCAGCCTTTTTTATATCACGTCGCGTCCATATAGTACATGAAACTGAAAAACATATCATTTATTCATCATTCTCTTATTGTATCATATTTAATTGTGATTCATTATACGTTACCACGATCGTACGCAGCACAATTAGAACTGAGCATTATAGATGGTGGCAATTCAAATTCCCAAGAAAACGGATGTTCCACGAATTCTCCATAATTCTTGGTCGTTTCACTATGTAAATCAGATTCCTCGAGCTCTGAGCTGTAACAATTTTCATTCTTCAACGACCAATTTTACGTTGAAGTATTAGATATTAGTAGAATTTTACCTGTAACTACATTCGTCACTATTCGTTGTTACACCCATCCATTCTGTAGCTGAAGTTGTAGCTTCTGTCAAATGGTTGGTCACTGCCTCTTCACATTCTCCTTCTTCCTCGCTTTCACAGGGACGACGACCTTCTGTTGACCCTATTCCCATTAGACAGTCTTTGTCCTTTAAATAATAACTTACAACTTTAATACACTTATGATTTTTAACAACGTAGCACATTTAGAAAACTTATACAATTAATTAACCAACGTTATGAAATAGATTATAGGAAAATTGAAGTATGAGCGATGAACAAATATTTTGAAAATACTTTTCAATCCGAAAGAATTTCTCAAATGTTTAAGTTACAGATATAATTAAATTTAATATTGGTAATGTAATATAATGATGAACGATATGAAATGGTTTGTAAGAAACAGAAACAAAACAGGAATACCTACCACTTTATTAGAAGTTTCTGGCTCGCTATTTGTAGAATTGTCTTCTGTCTTCAATAACTCCGATGCTGCATGGAAATTGAAACGTCAATTTAGCTAATAGGAACAGGCCATTTCTTTCCAGCAAAGATTAGAGCATGCTGTCGCGCATTAAGTTTAGAGTAAAAGCTGTTACAGATGAAACCTGAAAATTTTTGTTGTACGGATTGTCGATTAGCAGTGTCTTCCAACCAAAGTGTATGTTCCTCACTGTTTTTATGCAACTCGTTCTTTTTCTGCTTGTCTACTGTTACTTGCGTAACACTTTTAACATTATCACTGGACACATTTCCATTTAAACTTTCAAATCCGTCGTCGTCCTGATGTACATTACTTATATCTTGTTCGGAAACATCGTCTGTAATAGAGAAAGTTACATTTTAAATTTAAGCAAACACAGGTAACGAATAATAAAACAGAAAATTTTAGTACAGTATATAATATATTAACTTGATTGAGTATGACCAGCTGGAGCTCCATTCATAGGATTGTTGACAGCCACGTTATTTACTGGCTCATTATCACAGGGTGCTTGAGCAGTCACAAATTCCTTTAAAACGAGATTCTCATTTATACAGTTATCAATAATTATCAGTATTATATTTTATGAAAAGGCACGATAATTACCTGTGACCGGCTTACAGTTAAAGAATTCTCAATTATAACTTTTTTACCGAATCTTACAGATGTTAATACTTCGTCGCTTACTGTGCTAGCTTTCTCAGACGCTGTGTCCTGAGACGATTTTGAATCTTCATGCAAACCTATAGAATACGAATTACATCATAAGACAACATACACGGAAAGCAGATACCTTAGTGTACTTACGTAAATTTTGTCTAGTTCTCGATTTACCCATACGACATCGAGTATGTCGTAGACGTTTAACAGTTTTTCGTTTATTCTGTCCATCAGGCATAATCGGACCTGAATGGGTCGAGACAATATGAGAATGGATGATGCATAATGTTAACATCATAATAACAGGTATTAATACTTCCGATGTCGAGACTATCTGTAAATACATATTTTACTTGATATAAGATCACGTATAAGCACATGTATGCGGATTTGTATACGTATACATTTATGATACGAATAAGTATTTTTCATACATCACTTTCATTGTCCTTGATCATATGACAAAAATACACACACATATTGATCAACTGCAAGCTATACAGTAATAAAAATAAAGTAAAAATCTTTAAACTAGTCTGCTGTATCCACCACTTGCTATATAATGGAAGAAATAATAGACGTTGAAGCGCCAAGCAAGCTACTGTCGACAATCCATGCTTTGGCTTGGCTTTTGGGAAAGAAGAACCTGCATGCGTCAATATTATACAAGATTAAATAATGGTAAAATAGAATGTGAAATAATTATAACGATATATATCGTGAAACTGAATAATCTCATACAAGTCTAATTAGTTTGCGATTTATCTTTACCTCGGACAAGATCAACATCGATTAGTTCTGTTTTTAGCTTTGCAGTTCTCATTGGAACATGGGTAAATCCTCCAAGGATATGTTGTTCCACTGTTTTCTCCCATTGCTGTTTGTCATAAGCACCAATTTTCTTTTGATACCTAAAGTTTGTGATCATCGCATGAGCTAAACTCTGGATTATTGCTATTAACAGGCTGCAGATTCATATGTAATGTAAATCAATTTAAAAAAACAAATCTAAGTAGAGATTTCTTCTATTCTTCAGTACATATTACAATATTCTTGCACATTACATCCATTTCTTATATATACTATGAATGGTAAAAATCCGCAGCCCATTTAATTATTAAAATATGAAATATGGAATGTCTTACCAGTAAACGAGTTCATGAATTTTCATTTTTCTTGATCGCTATCGCAGTCGTACAAAATGACTATTAATTTTCAACCTTAACCAACAGCCGACTACGTTCGAACGAGCGGAAGATGATTTTCCGTCTGGGTTTGTTAATAGATTCAACGTAAATGTTGCTCCCATAATATATACACGACGAGCGTTATTTGTGAGCGACGTTTTCAGTTAAAATATTCCAGTGGAGTGAACGATACATTAAATAAATTTTGTGGTGTTGAAAAACAAAGTGTTCGAGTAATTTGAAGCGAGATTTCTAATCTGTTTCTAGCCAAGCCTGACAGCCACTGTACATGTGTGTGCATTTGAAAATTTCAACAATGATATACATACGATTTTAATCAATTTTAATTGATGTAGGTCTATTAAACTCCTTCACGAATATATTTATCAAGTTTCATACAAAATTTATCACATGACTGAAATTCTGAAAGACTGAAGTCCTATCAGATCCTACATACCTCTTTTTACGCACACGATCACGAAACACACACCATTAATACTTTATATAAACGTATATGTAATTGTAATACATAAGTGCATGAACTCCGGTCTTTGACGTGCGGACAGTTGTTTGTTATTTACATTCATATCATTGTTGAGTAATGCCACGTTCACGAAACAATCATTTTACATGTATTTACGCTACTAATCAAATTTCGACTTGATAGTAAGAGGAAAGAATATTTTTTTAAATTATCATCGGAATGTTTCTCTTCAATTTTTGGTTATGCCTCGGCCTCTTGTCCTGGGCAACGTGTTTACGGGAATACGAGAAAAAGGATTTGATTGCTCTCAGAGAAGAGGTACGAACCATGTTCGACCACGCTTATTCAAGCTATTTAACATATGCCTACCCATATGACGAATTACGATCTCTAAGCTGCGATGGATTTGACACATGGGGTAGTTTTTCATTGACGCTGATAGACGCCTTGGACACGCTGGCAGTGATGGGAAATTTCTCCGAATTTCGTCGCGTGGCAGAGATAATAAGCGCCAGAGGAAACTTCGAAGCCAACATCAATGTGTCTGTATTCGAGACGAATATAAGAGTGATCGGAGGGTTGCTCAGTGCACATCTTTTGTCACGTAAAGCAGGCATGGATCTGGAGCCAGGGTGGCCTTGCAACGGTCCCCTTCTGCGTCTCGCAGAGGACATGGCGAAACGTTTAATCGTAGCATTCGACACACCTACAGGAATGCCATATGGTACTGTCAATTTAAAGTATGGCATACCCGAAGGTGAAACAAGTATCTCCTGTACAGCAGGAATAGGCACGTTCCTTTTAGAATTCGGAACATTATCCAGATTGACAGGAGATCCTTTGTACGAGGAAGTAGCCATGAACGCTATCAAAGCACTGCATTATTACAAATCAAATATTGGTTTAGTAGGTAATCACGTGGACGTGCTAACGGGGCATTGGACGGCGCAGGATTCTGGAATTGGTGCAGGCGTTGATTCCTACTTTGAATACTTAGCGAAGGGTACTTTATTATTTCAGGATCCACAATTGGCAACTATGTTTCACGAACATAAAGCTGCCATTGAGAAATACATTCGCAGAGAAGACTGGCATCTGTGGGTCTCTATGACCAAGGGACAAGTAACGCTGCCAGTGTTTCAGTCTTTGGACGCTTACTGGCCGGGGGTGTTGAGCCTCTTCGGCGAAGTCGGAGATGCCATGAAATCATTGCACAATTATCACCGCGTTTGGAAACAATTCGGATTCACGCCAGAATATTACAATATACCGCAAGCCGAAGCAGGCACCAACAGAGAAGGGTACCCGTTGAGACCGGAACTTATCGAGTCTGTTATGTACTTATATAGAGCGACGGGAGATCCTTATTTAATACAAGTGGGAGTGGACATATTGAGAAGTTTGCAGCACAGTGCCAAAACTACCTGTGGCTATGCAACTATTAACGATGTCAGGGATCATCGGAAGGCTGACCGAATGGAATCTTTCTTCTTAGCCGAAACTACTAAATATCTTTATCTTCTGTTCGATCCTGATAATTTTATTCATAATTCTGGCCAAAAAGGAGACGTCATTCAAACTCAATGGGGCCAGTGTATTGTAGACGCAGGAGGATACGTCTTTAATACGGAAGCACATCCCATAGATCCTGGAGCGCTTTATTGCTGCCATAGAAGCCGAAATTTATTCCCGAATGAAAAATCAACGTTACGGAAATTCGTCCCTGTCGACGATAAAAAGGAACCAGAGAACACGGAAAGCGACTCGCTTTATGGAGATATTCATAGTAAAAATGACGACAAGCAGTCAATCGAAATCGTGAAATTATCGGAATTTAGGCAATATTTTATAAACAATTTAGAGGATAAAATGAAGAGAGCCATGGGCAAGTGCGCGTCGTCTGCAGATGAGAACGTGGACGAAACTGTGACGATAAAGGAGGAAAATGATTCGAATCCAGAAAATCCTGAATCTTTGAAAGTACAAGTTGTTGCGCCACCCTCTGGGATTTATAAAGCTGACGACAGCGAGAACATCGACGTCTACGAGGCTTACGCCACGTCAGGTGGACATTATTCCACTCCTATTGCGAACAATACAGAATCGCCTGTCAAGCAAAACAATGTGAAATCGAGATTCGAGCCGCAGATATTACTCGAAAGTATTAGGAGGAAAAACCTGTATCCTACGAATGATACAGCGAGATCGAATTACCAACTTTTATCTTGCCAGTCTCAATCATTTCTACAACGTATATCGATCATAGGAGAATTTTTTTAAGATGTTTTAATAGGAGAAATTGTAGATATAATGACTGTACATATATACAATAAATTAACTGCAAATTACTAAACGTCTATAATTACTGTAGAAAATTAGAAAAGAATCCCTTCACTCTCTACCGTTCCCTATTCTTCACTTGTCTTCACTAAAGAATGAATCCTGGCGAAGGACAAAAAAATATTTTCTAGAAGATATCTCTATCGAATTAAACCATTGAACAGTTCACTTCTGTAGAGTAAAAAGAATAAAGCCTGATACTAAAAAATTAAAATAGTTGTTCTTTACCAAAGAGTTTCACGCATTGATGTTTTTTTCTCTACATCTCTAATCCCTAGTCTCTACACGCGAGTAACGTGGTAATTTTAAATTACCAATTTATTACAATGAAGTTACCTATGTTGTAATCGTACGTATGATATGTAATGTGTGTATATGTAACACTTATACCTACTTCGTATGGAATACCCGATATGCTCGGTACGAAATGCAGTTCCCTGGTTCTCCCCCGGTCTTTGCAGTACGATTCGTCCGGTGGCTATATAAACGACGGCTACTCCATTTATCGTCATAATCATTATATACCAAAGAACGAAGACGTGCTTCTGGAAGATATTTCATTTGCTGCAATCAATTTCACGAATATCTCGAAGGTAAGTCAATTTTATTTTATATTCGCGTTTATTACGACTGTGATACCATATTTTTATTGTACGAATTATAAAAACTTTCTGGTGTATCAATATCTGGAAGTGACTCATCGACGCTTATATAAACGCAATAAACTAATACGCATTAGAGTACATTATAATTTTAACTCGAGTTTGTAAGCAATACAAATCTACTTTAGAATATTGTGCAATAAAATACTGACTCGAAATTCCATGCAATATGATTTCAATTCGAATCGGGACCTGGATTCATTCTAATTTTCTGACTGCGCGGCTAGAATCATTTACATGAAATAGTTCGCTGATTTTTCGAATGATTATGCGTTTGGAAGATAACTGATTCGCAAAATATTTTTTTTATTGTCTATTACATTTTGCAAACGAATATTTGTGCGTTCTTCATATTAAATTCTAACGTGCTTCATTTCTAAGAAGCATTATAGTTGAACATTTGATAAATCGCGTACTCTTATTACGAACTGTGGATGAGCTTCGTTAAAATGTTTTAATCGATGACTTGGTTCAGTTATTTGTCTGGATGAATATTACGCATTGTAAAATAAATTGTATGTAAAATATTTTTACAGATGAACTCAAGATCAAATAGAACAAACCAGTGCAATCCGAATCATACGCCAACTGGGCCGGGTCATAAGGCCGGATACCATGGTGCAGGCACAAAGGCGGATTTGGACAATCGCTCAAATCAAATGAATCCGAACAACCCAGCATACAAGAAGTAAATGTTTTTCTGAAATATGCATATATGATGTAAAAATCATGTATTTTTGCTCCAATAAATGTGACGAGCATTAAAACATTTTTACCTCTATTTCTTTCTCTAACCATCCAGTATTTATTAAAAAATCGATCTTATGCACGTAGAACAAAATTCAAATATCAGAAAGCTGCATGAGCGCATATTGCAATGGCTAAATAAATGAAAAGAAAGTATCTATCTAAATTACTTGTGCAAGCAATATCATAAAAATTTCACTAATGTACATTCGCGTTCCTCCACGTTCACTCGGTTTTGAATCGTAAAAGACGAGGCGTCTCACGTACATACTATTCTATCTTTATTATACGTTATCGCTGTCGAGATTAGGAGCGAAACCTGATACTCGAATACAGAGAACAGGACGAAAGATTAAATCGATATCTCGTTATTATTACACACATCTCTATTGATAATGATAAATGATAAAATAATTAATGAAATGATAAAATAATTTTTAAACATTATAGACTTGAGTATGTAAGAGAACAAAATATTAAACGGCAAATGGAATTGATCGTTTTGATTTGATTCCGGCGGGTTGTCTTATCCAAAATCCCCAAGGAACGAATTGTTCTCCATCCCTTTCTTTGCTTGGACCTCGAAATACTTTTACTTTCACGCGTGGCACTTCGGCTAAACCTAATAAAAGAATTTCATATGCAAATTTTCATAGTTGTTGAATTGAAGATTGTAATTATTTTAATTTTTATATTTGCTGTTCATTGTATTTCAGATGATTTTATTTATAATTTCACATCATTCAAATTATGTTAAGTACTATATAGATATTATAAAGTTATCAGGTGAACAATATTAATCGTAACGTACCTTTCATTTCACTGACTTTCGCAGTATCGCCAAATATAAATATCTTTTTCTCGTCACTTTGGGCGTCTATGATAATTATGAACGCGAAACAAGCTAAGTACGCAAAGTTCTGAAATACGAATAGAAAATTTTATAATGCTTTATTCACTTCATCAAATTTTATAATTTACCAGTGATTCCATCGTAACAAGCGTAAGGAGAATGAGCTATTGCTCGACGGTTCGAATCACTTATGTATCTAGCAGTAAAGAGTATTTAGAGCGTGATAGAGTCACATCTTGATAGTTTTTGGATTATTTTACCTATAGAGAAAGTTCCTTTCTTTTAAGGATGTATTGGCTGTACAGTCAATCCCAAAAGTTTATGTACCTTAGAAAAACGCATTTAACACATCCAATTAATTATTGACGCTGGCGGAAAGTTTTTTTATACAGAAGTTGTAGGCACTGACATTCTCTACAAGAAAAGTTGTATGCATTTTTCTTCTAACTCCAGTATTTAACGAGTTAAGTGCAGTTAATTGGCATTTTTTTGGCATTGACGAAATCCGACCGTCTCACCGTCGAAATGGCGAACTTTTGACAAAAAATTTCGTTTTTCTTCGATAACTCCTAAACCGTTGGTTCTACGGGAAAATTGCATAGAACCTTTCTTGTAGAGAACGACGAGAACTACAATCTCTGTATAAAAGTTTGTAGCTAGCATTAATAGTTTACGAGTTATTGACGAAAAACGAAAAAAGAGTTTTTCGCAAATTACTCGTAAACTATTGACGCTAGCGAAGAAGTTTTATACAGAAATTGTAGATCTTGTTGTCCTCTATAAAATGGTCCTATAAATGTTCCTCTAAGTCCATCCGTTTGGGAGTTATTGGCAAAAAACGAAAATTTTGCAAA